GTATGTGTGTGTGTATGTGTGTGTGTATGTGTATGTGTTCTTCCATCATCTTTCATAATTTGTATGTGAGTGCATAAATGTATGGTATATATATGTGGCGGAAATTTTTTAACCATTATTTTGCTAACTGATCGTATCTGAGCAAATTATGAAAGATGATGGAAGTAACATTACTGAGTAAATATATGGAGAGATGCGTACACACACACACAAACACACACGTAACACGTAACACGTAACGCGTATGTACAAGATGAGGATGTACATAATAAAAATGAAAGATAAAAGAAATGTAATAAAATGATATTATATTAGCATGATACCATAACAATATTATTAACTATAAATTACAAAGTTCTTCTTTCCATTAACTACAATTTTCCTTCTTTACCTTCTAATAGGAGAGTAAATAACTGTCCTAAAATACAGAAAAGGGTCTAAGTGTGACTGCTGAAATGAAAGGAATGGCAAAAGATCAATTGTTGGAAATCGAAAGCATTCAAAAAAACTTGAAATTAAAAGGATCAGTTAATCAATATTTAGTATGAATGGAAAAAAAAGGAAAGTATGTGGTAATTAACAAAGAAAATACAATGATTATAGAATTAGACAAATTATCGTTTTATTTATACTTTTGTATGAACAATAAAAAAATATAAGTAATTCCTAAATTTTCATTTAGGTGCCGCGTAAAACTTTGACATGTAGCAGAATTATAGTGGGCTGAGGCTTTTATGTTTTGGATTTCATTTAGAAATTTTTTAATTCATTAGGAGGGAATTAAGATATTAATTTTAACACTGTGTTGTTAATAAACATTTTAAGCGCATAGGACATGAAAGAATATGAATTTGGAGAAGCTTAAAAATGCAGTGAATTGGACATTAATACTTAAATTGATGTAGTAGACATATGCTTAAATTGATGTTGAAAGGAACATATGCTGAAATTGATGTCAAAGGAAATATATGCTGAAATTGATTCCGAAATAGACATACGCTTAATGGCATAAGTAAAAATAGTTTTCTTTGCTTTGAAAAAATGAAAGCTACGATTTATGTCAATTTGGCGAAAACATTACATATTTATCCAACAGTAAGGCTAGAAATTATTTTAATTTTCCTCTAAAATACTCTTTCAGTGGATGCCTTTTTTCACACGTAAAAATCTTTTTCACACGTATTTAGGTGCAAATACAGTATTTTTACCGTTTCATTTTTCATTGCACCTCGGTTTTTTATTCTTCATTATTTTCCATGTATTATGTATATCTAAAAAAAACAATAATATCTCAATTCATATTAATATTTATTAACTGATACATTCATGGTGTGTTGAAATGAACTCATTAAATACATGTTGCTAGTTGATGACCGTAATTGAGACTTATTCTGGGATAGAGACTATATTAGGAGTATCACTATCTGATTAGGTCTTATTTTGAGAGAAATTTAGTTACCGAAAGAAAAAATAATGGAAAATATTTGTTTCAAAAAGTTAAGACCAAGCTGAAAAACAACAGTCATACAAGCAGGACCAAAAAATAGAAGATTATAATTCAGACCATTTTAATATCAGTTTCCATGAAGCACATATTTATTCGGTTATCAGTCAGGAAATAGTGACATTGTTTCTTGTTTTCAGTTTTGCTGAGGAGTGATCGGAGATTGTCGCAGTCTCTTGAGGATTTGTAAGATATGAAATGATCGTCGGTAAGCGAATTCCATTCAAAATTGCTGACACTAATTTAGTTTCCTCATTATTCGAAATGCTTACGGTTTTTTTTCTAGCAATTATGACATTGGAGAAAAAGCGAATACGGAATATTTCGATAAAATTTGGACCTTTTGTTGGAATCCTCTAATATCACGGGAATAACGTGGAAAGTTGAAACCGTTATATATATATATTTTTTTTGATTAGAGCAATTGTAGATATATTGTAGGGTGTAGGAGATTGGTCCAAGCAGACTTGCGATAAACTGAGGAGTTCACTTAATTTTGCTGATTTTCCATTTTTTCCTCCTAAACATTAACTGGGTTCAATAATATTTGACAGCAATTTGTGATTTCGGGAGTTCTCCTTGACTGTTTTGTGGAATAATATACTGTCAAAAAACAAGGAAAAGAATCTGGATCAAAATACATTACTTCAGGTTCTTTTTGCTCAGAAACGAAACAACTTTGTAGTAAAAGTTGCTTTACGGAAAGATATTTTGCACAGAGCATAACAAATGAAAAGTTGTCTTACCACTTGGTATCAAAATCAAGTGATAGAACAACTTGAGCGAAAATAATTCATTCTGGAGAGATAGAAATAATGTTTATAAAAACTTGCAACTAAGCGAAATCTTCCAAAAACATAAAAAAATGTTGCAAATAGTTTTCAAAAGAAATTTGGGATGCATCCAAGACCAACGAAAAGATACAATGCCATTCCATTTGTTGACGATATTCAATAAATTACATATATATATATATATATATATAGCACTTGCTTATATATTTATATTCGAAGGCGTTATTTCCGAATTTTATTCTCTGAAATTGTCAAAAGCATGCGTTTTTTTTAAAAATATTGACATTAAAGTAGTCGAAGCTTAATTCTTCTAACAACTTTCAGACATTTTTATTTGTAATTTGCTAAATGGTCAGCTGTACATTGATAAAACGGTTCACCTTTACGTTGAAACGATCAAGTGGCAAAAGTGGTTGGGGACCATATCGTAATATTCGAAAAGGTGATCACTTTGTTGGTACTGAACCACCTCCATTGAAATATCATGTGGTAAGCCTTATTAATTACTCATGTTAGGCCATAATGCAGAAAAAAAAAAAAATTTTCCTTAGGTGCATTTTCTTTTATATCTTTGAGGATTGTAATGGCTGACATGGATAAGATTCTCATATTCTGTCATCTGTAGATTAAAGTCGATTGCTTTCTGATAATAAATTGAAAATGAATTCAATTTAATTCTGTTTATTTTTTCAATATCTCGGAGGCACTGCAGTAAAATCAAATATTCATGTTTATGTGAACAAATGAACCTATTAGGAAATAAGGAAAATGTAAGAATCAGGTGGTAGAAAATGTAAGAATCAGGTGGTCGTCATTTGGATTTTCAAAGTTTGCACGTAAAAAAATGGCTGAAACATCGTTTTGTTGCTATATTTATATGACAAAGCAAGCTTCATTGCCTGGATTTTCTGAATTTTCTCAAATTTATTTTGATTGATCTGTTTGATTTCTATATTCCGCAGACATATGTATATTTTGAAAAAGAATAAAAACAAGTCTTTTCTTTCATTTGGGTCGATAATTTAACGAAACATCATACAAGTTGCAACACTTCAGGAGAGATAACAGATGTAAGCAAATTTTTCAATAATTAATCAAATATATAAAACTTTTAGTTATATGTGTGAATTCAAGACCTTTTCCAGATGTTTTAAATGTTCATTTTTGTAACATGATTTGAGGGAATAGTTCTTATAGAATTTATCTCTTGAAGATGTCATCTGCTACGAATCTTGGCTGATTTGTCTATTTAAGGCATCCCATTACGGTCAATATATTTAGTTGAAGTGTCGCAGCTTATTCATGCTATTCTTTACATCGTTAATATCTCACTACGCCAAAAATAAAAAAAATTGGATGGACGCTTTCTCTGTTTTGATTTCTCTGTTCTGCATTTTTCCTAGAACTAACGAACTTTTCGAAATATTGAGTTGATTTGTGATTTG